GGATAATAGGCAAATCGCATTTTAGAAGGTAAAGCATCGTAGGGTGTCACTGCCCTAAGTGGCCCTGACCAACCTCCCCGCAGCCCTTCTGCCCAGGAGCCCCATTTCGGCTGCCCCCGGAGCCCTCAGTCCCTGCCCCAGCCGGTTCCCAGTCTCCCTCCGGAGCTGTCGTGAGGGTTTCCCAGACTGAGGGGACAGGCGGGTCGCTGCCTGGCTCTCACCTGACGACTGCTGGGCTGCTGACACATGCTGTCCTGGAGATACGCTGGTGGGTCTCGACCACGGTGAGCTGGAAGGGCTGCAGTGAAAAAGTGATCTCTCAGAAAGCAGGGCTAAACCCAAAACATGAATGAAATTCAGCTTTCCACTTTAAAACCTTTTTTTAATTTCAATGGTTTTACAAGAGGCTTGCAACAGCAACAAGAAAACAGACAAATGGACGTATGGTACTTAACAACAGTATGAAAACAGGAATATAGCTCAAAAGCTGCCTAGCCGACAAAATAAATCACCTTAACAATTAAGTAGGAAGGCACTGGCTTAGCATGGAAATCTTAGTATGAGCATAAATCTTACTACACTGAGCAATGTGAACCTCCATAACTGAACACAGTAATACCTTTATTCTAAATGCAGTAGGACAGGAAGAATGAAACATTCAGGGCTTCATGGATATTCCCAGGGCAACATCTCAGTCTGCCAAAATAGCACAGTCTTAAACAAAATTTGGCAGCAAAAAGCCCTTTAAATGTTAGAAGACATACTGTTCGTTTTAAGCTCCACACTTCACAGACTTCTGAAAGGTGGAAGTCCACAAAATGTGTAGAGAACATCTGAGTGTCCCTAAAGCAAACCTGTGGAAAAATGGAAGATTATATGAAATAAATATGCAACAAATAACTAGATTTGTCAGAGAGATCATTAACCCTTATCTCCAAAGACACCATGTATAAAAAGCAGAAATAATTTATCTGCCTGTTAAAGAGGGAACCTGAGGTTCAGCCTCTCCACATGCACTGTTGAGCAGCTCGGAAAAACTCTGCAGAGGACTGCTAAAATAATCCCACTGTTGAAGACTACTTAAAAACCTGGCTGAGCTTCATAAAGGATATGCAAAGAAGGGGTAGAAGTGGATAGAAAGGCACTTGTCTCTCACACTCACACACTCTTACTGGCCTTTGAAGAACAAAAGTGGGTACTTATAAAAAATTATGTAGTAAAATAAATGATCGTTCCCCTCCCTTGGCTATCTTTGCCAGACTCCAAACCTTGTCCTAGTGGTTTTCTGCAACAGTTGTGACATATTCAGAAGTGGAAAGCGAAATCATGGGAGGGTATGTAGTACTGAAATAGGTCATTGGTTCATTAGTTCATATACAATGTTTTACACAGCTATTCTGTATTTAAAAACATGCATGTGAGTTTTTTCTGCAGCCATAATTTTGATGTTTGGAACATGACATTCGACTACCTTTGTTCAGACTTAATTATTCATATCTTAGCACAGTAACCAATATTTAATTAATACAACTTGCATTGTATTCTGAATTAACCTGTTTCTGCTTACTGACCAGATGCCTTATTCACACATATAACATCCTGACTCTTGCTCAGTGAGCTGAAGTTGCCCTCATGGTGGCTGAATAGTAATCGAAATCTTGTTTCAAACAAGTCCAAATGTTCTTTCTGATAGAGAGCCTTTCAGATTTCTCACCATTTTTTCAAGCATAAGAAATTCTTTGAAGAGGCTTGTTAAGACTTATGTTGTCAAAAGAGTTCCTGGCATGTCTTCTCCTTAGAGATCTAAATCCTTTCTTTTGAGTTTGATACAGAATTCCTTTAGTACTGTCAGCTAACTACTTCCTAAGTGTTCTATTTTATACCAAAGTGGTTTCTTACATGAGAAAGAAGTTAGAGTATTATACTGACTTTGGTAGGGCATCTGACATGGTCTCCCACATAATTTTTGTACTTTACCTGGGTGGATGGGCAGACAATTAGATGGGTGACGAACTGGCTGGAGTCAAGGTCACAGTGTAGCGGTTAAAGTTTTGTACCCTACCCAGAAGTTGTAGTTTGTTAGGGTCTACCCTGGGACCTTGTCCTGTGTAGTATCTGTACATAACCCCAGGGAGGAGACAGAGTGCACCCTCGTCAGCTTTGCAGGTAACGCCAAACCATGAGACCTTAGTGGACAGGCCCAAGGGCAGAGCTGCAGTTCAGCAGGATCAGGTGGGGAAACGGGCCAAGCAGGAACCTGAAGAAATTTGACAAAAAGGCAGGTGCAAAGTCCTGCACCCAGGACACACTAACTACTTGCAACAGGCTAGGACTGACCAGTGAGGTAGCAGCTCTGCTGAAAAAGCCTGGGAGGCACTGGTGGACAGCAAGCTAAGCACAACCCAGCACGTGCCATGGCAGCAAAGAAGGCCAGTAACATCCTGGGCTATACTAACAGGAGGGTAGCCACTACATCAGGGGAAACAATTATCCCCCTTTATTAGTCACTCCATAGACTGCAGACACATATTTAGCTAATGGTCGCAAGAGCATTCCAGATGCCTTTAGAAAACCTTGAACAGAATAAACAAGAAGACAAAAAAAAAAAAGATGCCAATTAGAAGAACACAGGTGCACTTTCCACAATAAAGGGAACTTGGCACAAAGAACCTCAATTCGGCAGTTTATCTTGACCAATTAGACTGAGACAAGTTTCACATGTTTTAGCTGGTATAACCAATTATGTCCTATGTTTATGCGCGTGTACAGAGTTAGTATAACCAATTATATCTTATGTTTATGCGCGTGTACAGTGACTTTGCAGAATATGTGACTATAAGTATGTGTGTGCGTTAGCAATAAAGGGTCGTCTGTTGTCTGCTTTCAACTTTACAGGCGTCCGTCTACTTCAGTCTCCTCAGTAGACCACATCTGATTACTGTGACCAGTGTTGGGCCCTCCAGTACAAGACAGACATTGATTAGCTGGAGCAGGTTTAGCAGAAGTGACTAAGATGGTCGGGGGCTGGAGAAGAGGCACTGCCAGAGGCTGAGGGAACCATGCTTGTTCAGCCTGGAGAGGAGAAGGGTTCAGGGGTATCTAACAACAGCATTCTAACACCTACAGGGAGGTTACTGAGAAGGCAGGTGTCGCGTCCCAAAGTTGGAGCAACTCAGGTTCGTGGATTTCCTTTGTCAGAATTAAGGTGAAACGACACCAGGGGAGTTCAAACAACAATCAACATTTATTCAACCTAGCTAACTTTGTCCAAGTACACATGAACTTGTTAATATGAACCTTGCAACATGTCATTAAGCCTCTGTTTGAGAAGAGGAGGAAAGTACAGAAAAATGAAATGGAAAAAGGAACATGAAATGTATCAGAAGGAGAGCCCTCCTGTTGAGTCACGAGGTTCAGAGCAGACGCCCTTGCTTTCTGGACTCCTTCTCAAAGAGGAGCTCAGGAGCGGCTAGGTCCACTCCTAGTCTCAGACTTGGTCAACGGTTTATGTTTAAAAGGATGACGTGTAGGGACTGTGTAAAAGAGAGAAGGAAAAGAGAGAGAGAGAGAATGAGAGAAAAAAGAAAGAGAGAAGAGAAGGGTTTCACCAGTCCTGGGTCCAGCGTTGGTCCAGCCAGTGTAGAGATCCAGTTCCGGAGGGTGCGCACTGAGGACTCGTTCTCTCCTCTTTTATAGTGTGTTAGCTGATGATCTCAACATGCGCAGTTCCTACACCTGGGGTTCACTGGAATCGGTAGCTTGCGGGGGGGGGGTGTTCATTGTGGAGTTGCGTCTCTTTTCCTGCTGGTATGACCACTTAAGATAGAAGCACAGTCCCAACTTCCATGGGGCCTTCTTCCTCCAGGAAGGCATAAATTTTGTTCCTTCTCCTGGTCACTTAAGATAAGGAACTGGGGCCTTGGAGAAGTGCGTTCCCACCCTCCGTGGGGCCCTCTCCTCTGTCCACATTGTCCTGTTCACAAAACTCCAGCATTTTTACAGAGGCCATTTTGTCCACCAAAGCTCTTTTAGTGGATGTTTGAGACATTTGAATTTGTCAGACCGTCACAGCAGGGTCAGGCTCTTTACTAAGGTGTGTGGCAGCACTCGTGCAGTCAGGCAGTGGAGCCAAAGTAGTAGGAGTCTCAGCCCTTCGAGGTTTTTTAAGACCCAGCTGGATAAAGCCCTGAGCAGCCCAGTCTGACCCTGATTTGGGCCACAGGTTGGACTAGAGATCTGGATCCCACCCTGAATTAGGATGTGACGCTGTATTTTTTAAACAAGCTACCCCATTCATCAGCCTTAAAAAAAAAAAGGCAGCAAGTGCTTATCCAATGAAGGCTGGCATACATACACAATATAGTTGGAAATTCTCCCTCAAAAATGTATACCATCAAAAACATTTGAGAGTAAAATTTTTCTTTTTTAATTAGATATAGGTTGAAATATGTAGTGTGAAATGTTAGCTTTGTTTGCCTTATAATTAAAGTTGCAAATCCATGACTTTTTACAAACCAAACCTGTACAGGTGTGATTCTTTATTTAGATTTAAGTAATGTTTTATGCTTTGCAAAGAGGGATATGACAGTATCACTTTTGTGGTGTCATTCCTACCTTTATTAAACAGTCTAATGCATTATTCTTCCCAGAATTGCTGAGTACAGCAAATAAACACATCCGTAACAGGGGTTGTCCCAAAACTCTAAGTTTCCTAGGAAATGTATGTTCTTGAGACAGAACTTTACTGTCTGTACACCAAGCTTGTTACACTCAAAACCTTATTTATGACAAAGATGAAATACACCTTATTTATAAAGTAAAAAAATTTATTGTTAGCATAATTGAAATCTTAACAGCGTCATTCAAGAATTATTATTAATCCAGATGTAATTATTACAAAACAAGAAAGGATATGTCTATGCTGAAAA